TGTCAAGGGATAGCCTCGAGGAGCTGCAAGGTTTCCACCAATTTAAGAACCAAATAAAACGATTGGCATACAGAAAATGTTTCTAACAATGACCGTCAGGTACAAAAATCCAAGCTTTTGCTTATTTGCTGTCGAGGACTTCGATTTCAGCTCTCTCAATCTGCCCCATCTATAATCAAGCTTGTGCCAGTGGAAAAGCTCATTAGTTAGATTGTCGTATGCGAGGTGATTAGGTGCTGTGGGTTCAAAACCTCCTAGGAAAGAACAATTTTGGTAACACAGTCACTCAGCCAGTGATTCGGAGTGTTTGTCCTGTGTCGACTTTCAAATCCTATCACAACTCAAGATATTATAAGGTCGAACGAAGACTGCTTTCCCCTACTGGTTTTTAATTCACTGGATATTCAAGTATGTGTAGTTATTATATCGGTCAAAGTCCATCTTATTAACTTGAATTTTCTTGCGACAGTAGACTTTAGTTTTATAAAGATTAAAAGATCCAAGAGACTGATTTAACACAGTGTATATGCTAAGGAAAGCATATTCTAACAATGAATCTAAGTGGAAAGGTAGCTCTGGTTACCGGGGCCGCTCAAGGACTCGGTAAAGCATTTTCAGAGTCGCTACTTTCTCAAGGTGCTAAGGTAATATAATAACAAATCTTATTATTCTGTTTACAGATAAACATATTACTTTATAATGGAGTTGTAATGGATAAAATGATGTTTAAATTTGTTTTAACAAGTTTGAATTCGTAGTCTCGTTCTTCCAGGTTTGTTTAGCTGATGTCAAAGTTCAACAAGGAAAGACAACTGCTGCAGAATTTCAGAAAACTTTCGGCAACGATTCAGCTTTTTTTGAAAAATGTGATGTTTCTATAGCTGACGATGTAACAAGTATGTAGAATTTAATATTGGTGAAAAATTTGATATTCTAAATAAGTTGAAAGATTGATAAAGACTAAACTAGGGAAATATGGCTTCTTTCGGCCATGTAATAAGGGGATATTAAACGTAACAGGGATACGAACAGTCCATAAAGATACTATATGTATATGCTCTTCGAATGCTTACCCTGAATGCTTGATTTGTAGATGTATTTAAAAAGGTAAAGAGTAAATATGGTCAGATAGATATATTAGTAAACAATGCTGGTATCGCCAACGAAACACACTGGAGGAAAATGGTCGACATTAATTTGGTGGGATATTATTTCAATATTTTATCAGTAGCTTTGAAGTAGGAAATCTGATTCTATTAGTTAAACCTTTCCAATCTTCACAGTGTCAAGCAATTACGAACTCCATCCAATATCTTGACTGCAATAGCCGCCTTTCTTGTATCACAGAATACAGCAATTTGATTGGGTTCTACTCCAGCGAATGCAGCCAATAAGATCCCCGACAGAAAGGCTGTACGCAAAACTGCATATCATTTCATGGAATCGTGCGTTTAATTGTTTGTGGACGAAAGATTCCATTTCATTTCATAGAATCGTTAGTTTGAATGATTTCACAGTAAACGTAAACCTCCATTTCGTTCACATTGATATGTCTGTTTTTAGGTAAGTGTAATTCAAGGGACACAACTGGGTATAGAATATATGAGTAAAGAATATGGTGGTAACGGTGGAGTTATAATAAATGTTTCATCATCAGCAGGTAAGTATTGGTTTGCGATCGATCGACCTACTGCTAGTTTCACAGGAGGCAATCATGGGACTGACACGAAAAAGAAACCTGCATAATTTAGTTTTAAAATGTCGTAATCGACATTATATATATTAAAGGGATTGTAAAGAGGCTTTCTAAATTTGTATCGGGGACACTGATAGCATCAATTTTTCACCATTTCCATTTTCAATCAGATATTCCACTAAATAAATAAATAAATTAAAATAAGTAGTAAATTTTACTTATTGCGAAGGGTATTATGTTCCAATGCACGAATTTTTAGAATTAAAATCCCGCAAACGCCATTTCAGAAGTTGAAATAACTGAAGCTGAGTAAATATAATTGTTGGTCCGTCTGATCTGACGATAAGGCAGAGTTCAATCATGGAGTACAAGCACTTCCAAAGAGTTTGAAACCAATGCGATATCACTCTTTTTTAGGTCTAGTTCCAGTATTTATAACACCAGTATATTGCGCAGTGAAATTTGGTGTTGTTGGTTTTACTAGAAGTGTTGCAGTAAGTCATTATTTTATAGAAAATTCTATAATTTTGATTCTGCACTTGGTCTTGGAATAGACCTTTTTGGGAAAGCCACAAAAAGGCATATTTCGGTTATCAAAAGTTTCCGTCCTCACTCGTATCCATTTTAGAATCAACAATAAAAGTCGCTAATTTTCGAAATTATACCGTACCGGCCCGATATCCAACTGTCGAACCTGAATTCAGTATGCGACAACTGTGGAAACGGATATTATTGAAAAATATATTTAATTTGCTACATTCTGGCACATGACAAAAACGTATTTGTAAGAATTAAAGTGGGGGTACAAACTTTTTCCTAGGAGGGCGAATTCCTCCATCTCAGCCGACTATTATCCAATATTTCAGCAAGACCCTAGAAATAGATCTACAAGTGGTATCAGATTCTGTTGTCTATGTCCAGCCTTTACTGATACGGATATTATCAAGTTTAAAAAAGACTCTGGTATTAATATGAAATATGCACCCAAGATTCTGAAATCTGTTGGAATTAATAAGTAAGCTTTGTAAGGGTTGGTTTTAAATCCAAACCGCCCAAACCGCTAAAAAAAATTTGCGCTAAAATAGGTATTGTTTATGCTAAGAATAATGTTTCGTTTCGTAGTATAAAACCTGTGATTCTTAAAAGTAAACAATACTAATATTGGCGCAAGTGTTATTAGCTGTTGGGCCAGTAGGGCGGTTGAGATTAAAACCAACCCACTTTGTAACCTTTATTTTAATCGACCTTTTGACAAACACAAAATATGATACATCCAAAATAAAATTTGAACGAGTCTTAGTCAAATTCTTCAGGATCAAAACACCTGGCATGGACTGTTGAAAAATAATGATTCAAGCCTGGAAGAGATGACGGAGATATATAGTTAAACAAACCTTGGCCATTTATATAGAGTGGAATGAATTATTTTATGGTTTTCTCGCAAGAGCTGTCAGGTGTGCCATCTTGGGGGGTTTGATTTTAATCTTGAATATATGTAAATAGTCTTCAGATGTATTAGAAATGTAGTAAAATCACATAATTCCTATAAAAATACTTCTAACTAGGAAATTTACTCACTATTTCTATATTTGTCTTTTCTAAATATCATAAAGTATCTTAAATTCGATGGTGAACTGTGAACACTATTACTGATTACCTCGGCTACAAAATTCCAGTAACTGAGACTAAAGTATGATTTGTCAAAAAATGGCCAACCCGTCTCTTTAAACTGATGGCGCTGTCAGTGACTATTGAATATTTTCGTGAAAAGTTTGGTTTGGGTGTTAAATTTTTCATTCTTCCTCAGGTCCACGGTTCATCTTTTTTTTCAGAGTGTCGACTGTTGTAGAAGGGTTTATGGAACTGGTAACTAAGGCTGAGAATGGTGCTGTGATGACTGTTACCCATGGTGATGGAATTGGATATAAATATAGGGACGCTACTATCAGCAAACTCTGAGACCAACGCCATCTTTGTAAACGACATGTGCATTTCGGTTAGTGAACTTTCGCCAGGGACAGTGATACGACCGTGATTAAACTCAAATATTGCTCAATAGTTATAACATATCAATGAATGATTTATATTAAAATATTAAATAATAAATACCAACCAAGCTGTTATCTTAGCCTGTTCACAAGCAAAAATCAATATCGGATCCACCAAGGCTGTCAGAATACACGGGTCGACAGCTTATTATGTTTTTTACTTAACATATAGGTAGACAGCTTCTCAAGTCATCAAACATGTCTGTAGACAGCTTTTCAATTCACTAAATATGTAGTTAAACAGCTTCTTATATAACCAAATAAGGTAGACAAGTTACGTTACCAAGCATGTCGGTAAACAGCTACTCAAGTCACCAAACATGAAGGACGATAGCTTCTCAAGTCACCAAACATGTAGGACGACAGCTTCTCAAGTCACCAAACATGTAGGTAGACAGCTTCTCAAGTCACCAAACATGTAGGTAGACAGCTTCTCAAGTCACCAAACATGTAGGACGATAGCTTCTCATGTCACCCAACATGTAGGTAGACAGCTTCTCCAGTCACCAAACATGTGGGTAGACAGCTTACGTTACCAAACATGTCAGTAGAAAGCTTCTCAAGTCACAAAGCATGTAGGACGATACCTTAAGTCACCAAACATGTCAGTAGAAAGCTTCTCAAGTCACTAAACATGTAGGTAGACAGCTTCTTAAGTCACCAAACATGTCGGTAGACAGGTTATTAAGTCACCAAACATGTAGGACGACAGCTTCTCAAGTCACCAAACATGCAGGTAGAAAGCTTCTCAAGTCACCAAACATGAAGGACGACAGCTTCTCAAGTTTCCAAACATGCAGGTAGAAAGCTTCTCAAGTCACCAAACATGAAGGACGACAGCTTCTCAAGTTTCCAAACATGTAGGTAGACAGCTTCTCAAGTCACCAAACATGTCAGTAGAAAGCTTCTCAAGTCACCAAACATGCAGGACGATAGCTTGTCAAGTCACCAAACATGTAGGTAGACAGCTTCTCATGTCACCAAACATGTAGGACGATAGCTTCTCATGTCACCAAACATGTAGGACGACAGCTTCTCAAGTCACCAAACATGTAGGACGATAGCTTCTCATGTCACCAAACATGTAGGACGATAGCTTGTCAAGTCATCAAACATGTAGGTAGACAGCTTCTCAAGTCACCAAACATGTAGGTAGACAGCTTCTCATGTCACCAAACATGTAGGACGATAGCTTCTCATGTCACCAAACATGTAGGACGACAGCTTCTCAAGTCATCAATCATGTGTAACAGTAGATACAAGGGGGTACCATTTCTTATGTGTAAGGCTTAGTAGTGAGGACAGTTAAGTGGTTGAAGGGAGGTAACTCTGTTTAGTAAAAGTTACAAGTGCCTGTGTTTCAAAAGGTGACTAATGCCTGTGTGCAAGGGCAAGTCACTCTTATGACAGGAAGTTCTCTTCCATGTGCTCCTCAATGTTGATAAAGCCTATGAAATACCTAAGTTTTGTTTCTCTCCTCCCACAGGTATTATTTTGCTATAAAAGGCCAATTATGTTGCTGTCAATCTATAAGACATAGGTTTACTACACTATGTCAGTGTTTTAGGCCTTTGCCTCTGAAAATCTTGTATTTTCTATTAGTATCACACACGTTGGATGGCCCGGTGCGGTAGGCCACCCCACGTGGTAATGGGCAACCCTTATTCATTGCGCCTTTGCATTGTTCTCTCATGTAATATAAGTTTACACAAGTTGATGTTCGTAAGACATGTTGTATATTAGTTTGTAGACTCTTATGACAGGAGGTTCTCTTCCATGTGCTCCTCAATGTTGATAAAGCCTATGAAATACCTAAGTTTTGTTTCTCTCCTCCCACAGATGATCCTGTAGAAGGTAGTACGACATTGTTTGTCTGTTGTTAACAGAGCTGTAGAAAGGGGTGTTGGTTCCAGTTGCACCATGTTATAGTGCCAGTATATGAACCCTTTCCTTGTGCTCTCCAGAAGTGTCTACCAGGCTTAGTTGTGCTGCATCGTATAATCCTGAGGTCCACCGTTGTACCGTCTTTAAAGCTGAACTTTAGGCTTAACTGAGTTACCCAGTGTTGTCATTATTTCTCATTCTCTGTGTGTCAGTCATCGCGTTGGCTAATCTGGTTGTTTTACTACTCACACTTCTCTGTTTTCACCTTCTTGGTGCAGAGAGGTGTAACATTTGGGGGCTTGTCCGGGAACCAGATATTTTCCCAAACGCAATGGCTGATAGTATTGAAGAGAAACTTTTTGAGGCAAAGGCTCGCCTGTTTCAAATGCCTTTCGACACTATGGTACAGACATTGACGTTGTTAAAAATTGACATTGATAAAAGTGTTAAGACTCGTAGTCAGGCTGTCAAGGCTTTTGATGTTGTCTGGTCAAATTCTGATGAATTAGAAGAAAATTACGAAGATTGTACAAACCCACCGTTTGATCGCAGGCTTGATGAAGTTCCTCCAGAGACAGCTGATGGAGTTGCAGATCAAGATGGAAGATCTGGTGGGAATTTATCTCAAGAAGAAGATGAAAGACCTAATGGAGATTCATCTCAAGAAGATGAAAGATCTAATGGAGATTCATTTCAAGAAGAACTTCATTCTGGTCGAAAACGGTTACGAAAGGCACCTTCTAGGCTAACGTAAAGCTTTTAAAGCTGAACTTTAGGCTTAACTGAGTTACCCAGTGTTGTCATTATTTCTCATTCTCTGTGTGTCAGTCATCGCGTTGGCTAATCTGGTTGTTTTACTACTCACACTTCTCTGTTTTCACCTTCTTGGTGCAGAGAGGTGTAACACATGCAGGATGATAGCTTCTCGAGTTACCAAACATGTTGGACGATAGCTTCTTAAGTCACCAATCATGTCTGTAGGCAGCTTCTCAGGTTTCCAAACATGTCTGTAGACAGCTTCTCATTTCACCAAACAGGTAGGTAGACAGCTTCGCATGTCACCAAACATGTCAGTAGAAAGCTTCTCAAGTCACTAAACATGTAGGACGACAGCTTCTCAAGTCACCAAACATGTAGGTAGACAGCTTCTCAATTCACCAAACATGTAGGTAAACAGCTTCTCAAGTCACCAAACATGTAGGTAGACAGCTTCTCAATTCACCAAACATGTAGGTAGACAGCTTCTCAATTCACCAAACATGTAGGTAGACAGCTTCTGCAGTCACCAAACATGTAGGTAAACAGCTTCTCAAGTCACCAAACATGT